CGAACTCCTACATTTATTATTCAAATATACTGTTTCATATAGTCATGAATATTGGTCCACCGATGCCTAATTTTATAAAATTATTAATTAAAAATATTTCTGGGTTGGTCAAGTACTCATATGGACTAAAATGTGTATATAAAAATTAGATTCTTTTGTTTATGTTTATAAGGAATGGTATCAAGGAATGATACGTATTTTACAAGTCTAAAGCAACTTGGTTATGATTTTGGAATTATCAATTCAATAATTTATCTGTGGAAGTTATGATGGATGGAGTTTAAATAATTCATCAATCTATTTAATATGTATTATTTTCTAAGAGGTAACACTATTTTTGATTTCATTTTTTATATATATACTTTCATTTTAAACATCATTTAAAAAATTATTAATTGAATATTATATTTAAAAAAATTTAGTAATCCTATATGTTTCTATTGTTATTTTTTAATATGTTTTCTGTTTGCTTCACCAACACATAATTACACGAAATGTCTCGTGTATACATATATTTAACTTTATATTATTTAGTACTTAATTTTAAACTTAATTATACATGTTTTAAGATAAAAAAAATGAAATTAACCATACAATACAAAGATATAATAGTAAAACTTAAAAATTGAATTAAAAAAATCAATTTATAAATAAACACATAAAAATATCATTTAAGCCTTTTAATTTTGATAATAACTAAATAAACAACTTAAAGTTGTAAAGTTTTTGGAGTTAAAATCAATAAATATATTATTTAGAAATAATTAATGACGATATTTATTTAATGAAATTCATACTGATTAAAAAAATTATAAAATACGTTTAATAGTAAACATATTTAAAATTATTAGTTATGAATAATAAAATTTAAATACATCACATAATATCAATGATAATAAATATTTGAATAATTACATAATCCGATTTTTCATTCTTAATTTACATTAATTGAAAAAATATATTAATAAACTTCGATAAATTTATTTCAATAATTTTCAATTTAAAATATAACTTTATTATTTATTTATAATTCGTCAAAATTATAATTATACTTTTATTTGATATCATAAATAATTGGAGACGTGTGAATTGTCTTATTGACCTTATGAAGTACATACCGCTCAACTACCATAAAATATAGACTTAAAAGTAATAAAGAATAATGATGATGTTTTGAGCCAAGAGTATTTTTTATATAAATAAAATTAAGATTAAGTCATTATTTATTAAAATATTATTATTATTTCTCTAAAATCTAAATTGTTTATATTTTTTAATAATTTTGTCATCATTTTCCCACAATTATAAGCAAGGAATCAAAGGAATATATATGAAGTAACCAAATACAATCTTGTTCATGGTTACTTTATGTGATTTAGATCTTGAGCTCCATTTTTTCTTTATTTGTTTACCCGTGGTCGTAAAATGTACAATTAATTTAAAAGGACAATTTTTTTATAAATTTGCGGTAAATAATTTACTTTTTATTAGGTCTGTCTTTTTTAAAATTAAACTAAAATATATCTAAGCATCTTAGTTCAAATATTTCAAGGATGGTTTATTTAAGAATTAAGTTCTTGTAACAAAAATAGTTTATTTTGCATGTGTTTTTTTGGTTGAGCGTCATCGAGGTTGGGTGTCTTACATTCCAAATTTTTATAATAAAAATTTATGAATTAAATTAGATGAATTTTTATTTCTTATGATACAAAACATCTCATAAAATTAAATATAATAAATAATAAAATTATTAAGACCTTTATGATAATTACACTGCCATCTCACTCTCTGCAAATCAGAATCTTCCTTCGTATTTCAACTTTTCAAGCTCTATCTTTTAGGCCTTGTTCACTTGAGGAGATTTGAGGGAGAGTAATTGAGGGAATTTGAGGGAGAGTAATTGAGGGGATTTGAGAGGATTTGAAAATAATTTTTTTTGTTGTTTATTTGAGTCAATTTGGAGTTAAGTGAGAATGAATTTGGAAGTAAAGTTTGTGAGAATTAGTGTAGGATTTGATTGACGTGACAGATTAAAAAAATTTACTTCCAAATCCAATCTCATTTACCTCCAAATTCACTCAAATAATCAACAAAAAAATTTATTTTCAAATCCTCTCAAATTCCCTCAATTACTCTTCCTCAAATCTACTCAAGTGAACAAGGCCTTAAATCCTAATTTTTCTTCACGCGCTCCTTCCAGAATTTAACCCTTTCCCACTACAAAATTAAATTCGACGAGTTGCAGTATAAATCCAACCGTTAAAATAACATTATTTGATGGACCAGATTTAAAATTAAACAGTATTTTAATGGATTACGTTTTCGCAGTTCTGCTACTGCTAAATGCAGAGGATCCAAACTTCTAGAAAGACTNCCTTAAATCCTAATTTTTCTTCACGCGCTCCTTCCAGAATTTAACCCTTTCCCACTACAAAATTAAATTCGACGAGTTGCAGTATAAATCCAACCGTTAAAATTACATTATTTTATGGACCAGATTTAAAATTAAACAGTATTTTAATGGATTACTTTTTCGCAGTTCTGCTACTTCTAAATGCAGAGGATCCAAACTTCTAGAAAGACTATGCAATAAATTCTGACGTCAATAAGCCTTTTTTGACTACTGACTGCTGCATGTGCGCGGAGAAGAAAGACATAGACAAATAAAGAAACGTGTATTTATTTTTTATTTTTCATCCCATTTCAATTTAAATGTTATTCTTGATTAAAAAATTATAAATTTGATCCAATGTTTATTTTAATTTTAATTAGTTGAGTTGTTTTCTAACATGTTAAAATCTATAGTTTTATATATTAAGATATGGTGACACGATCCTATATAACAACAAAGACAAACTTCTAATTTAGTAAATACTCAAAATAAAATTAAAATAAACTTAAAATCTGTTTGGCCTGATACGAAGAGGTCGGACATTGATCTTAATAACATTTTTTTAAAAAGATATTAAGAAGCAGGTTTAAATATAAGTATTTATTAATATAATGATTAGGATTGGATCGTGTGATTAGAGTTCACTAATTTTAAATCTATTTCAGTAATTATAAATAGAAATCAAAGATAAAAAATATATAATCGTATTTATTATATATTTAAAATTATTGTTCTGATTTACTAACTTAAGTACTTTTTTACAAATAGTTTGATTATCTGAAGCAAAAGTAAAGACATAAAATAACTTTAAATAAAATTGTAAAAGTGATTGTTAAAGTTATTTGCTCTCGCATCTAAAATCCGAAATATAATTGAATTATAATAAATTGTGTAAACTTGTAATGTTTTTTTAAGTATAAGATTGAAACAAAGAAAAGAAAAGAAAAATAAAATAATATAATGATTCTAGAATCATAAAGAATATTATAATTAATGTAAAAAGATATTGAAAATTGACGGTAGTTAAAGACGAAGATGATGGCATGATCGATCAGTTTTCTTGTCAAAAGAGAGGAAATTTTTCTCCTGCTTTTCTTTGTGTCTTTCTTCGGCTGATGTAACAAAAACAGAAGATTCGACTTGGACTGAAGACCATTCCTTAATGCGTGTTTGGAAAATCTTCCATTATACTTTTTTATACTATTTTTTTCGTTAATTTTAATGTTGAAAATACTTACAAATTAAATATACAACATTTTTTTAATTCATAAAAAGGAACATTAACCCAATTTTTTTATAATAAATCATATCATTGAATCAGTTAATTAGATAAAAATAAAAAGATGTATAACAACTCATCCTGTCAGCTCAGAAAGATAAAGATATTTAAAAATATTTTTTTGACAATATTTTAACATTATCTACATGTTATTATGTGATTGGTCCATAAATATGAAATAATTTTGAACTAATAATATAATAATACATAAATAATGTTAAAATGTTTTTTAAAAAAATATCATAAAGTTTGACACATATGTATGTGATATTGCTTCTTTTCGTGACACGTGTTATGGATATCCGAATAAAAAGAGTATCAAACAATTCTATTGAATTAAAATAAAGCTAAAAGAAAAAATACATTTGAAAATTACCTTTGAATCTACCTCACTCATTCCCTACTCGTGTTCAGAGGTCCCTCCTACTTCCTCCAATTCAGACTTTTATTTTGTTTTTTCATTTCTTTTTCGCATTTGGCGTTTGACGTGGATTTTATTTTTAACTGTTAGCTTTTAAAGTTGCTATTTAAAAAATATCTTTTATATTTCACATTTAAGAAATATGTTAACTTAATTCTTTTAACTGTTATTTATTATAATTATTGTTATTATTTGTTTCTGATATAAAGTGATGTTAACTTTTTTGCTGTTCTAAGTTTTGGTTTTCGTCACGTTCATCCGTTTTATTAAATTGAGAAATTACTTTCAAAAAATATTCCAAAATTAGTAAAGATTCAATAATTATATGTTAATGTGTATTAAATGTAATAATTTTTTTTATTTCATATTTATATTTATAAATTTTAAAATAAATTTCGAATCAGCATATCTAGTCACACTTTGCTTTAAATTAATTAATATCAATATTAATTTCGTGATCTCAAACCATTCGACTCATCAAACCATTCATTTTAACGTGATGGTACACTATAATTAAATCTACCTTATTGGCATGCTAATTTCATATACAAGATATATTTTAAACATCTGTAAATATATCAGAAATTGATGCAGGAAACACAAAACGTCTTTATTTTTTCTAGAAGTTATAGCCAAACATATACCTGACTTATTTTTAAAATACATCGAACTGAGTTAGTGGAAGATTATAAATATCATTATTATATCACCAGATTGCTTTAGTTTTGGCAATTGGCAAAAGAAGGGTAAAAAAATAAGAAAACGTGTAAGAATAATTAAATAATACATTTCTTTGTTGAAAAAGCTAAGCTTCTGTTCCTCAGAATAATATTAATGAGCGTAAGATATGAACAGTGATTCTAGAAATGTCGAAGCTGTCTGTGGCACACTTGTAAATATATACCCCACATACTGAAAAGCAAACCAGAGTCCCCAATACTACACAATCAATTAGAATCAGAGCAATGGATGTTCTCAGATTCACCTCAAACCTTAGCACCACTCACATGCTTCCACTCTCCAAAAGACATCAAACACAACATCCTCGTATGAAGTTTTCCGTTTCATGCAGAGCCACGAAACAGCAGACGTGTGTGGAGGAGAACTTGTACAAGGTACTAAGTTTGAGTCCCATGAGTGCGACCACAGATGACATAAAGAAAGCGTACAGATCAATGGCTCTTCAGTTCCACCCCGACGTGTGCCATGACGGTTCCAAGAAAGAAGAGTTGACGAGGATGTTTGTGCAGCTCAACGCCGCCTACACCACCTTGTCCAACCCACAGCTTCGAGCGGATTATGATTATGAGTTGGGTTTGAGAAACAAGAAAAGTGTGGGTGATGAGAGCTGGAGATGTAGGTGGCAGGAGCAGGTGGTTGGGTTGAAGAGAAGGTCTCACACGCGTATG